CGAACGTAGCTATATAAAGTGGCCGCGTAACGCTTATAAATTTAGGTACTCTACGTTATAAGGATTTCCCGGTGATCTGCCGGATCGGGCGATTCGCCGGATTCACCGCCAGTTCACGTCTCCACTTCAATCCTGAATTCTCCACCACCATGGCCCCGATTGATGAAGCGCTGAGTTTCTGAAGCTGTGTGACACTGTTAACTATGCCAAGACTGCGCGTCAGTTCAATTGCGACGAGACTACCCTGCGACGGCGACACCAAGGCAAACAGAGGTCAAGACGGGATGACAGTTTGTATAAGTCACGTCTCTCAAAACAGCAAGAAAGGGATCTTGTTGCGTATATTCGCAAGCTTTCATCACGTGGGATTCCGCCTACGCTGCCGATGATCAAAAGTTTTGCCCAGGATATCGCCAAAATTGAGGTCGGAAAGGACTGGCCGTATAGCTTCGTCCGACGTAACAGCGATGAGCTCGGCTGCACTTGGTTCGACGGTTTTGATATCGCAAGAAAGAGAGCAGACAATGCTTCTAGATACAGAGCCTACTATGAGCTTGTAAGTAGGTGCCCAAGTCCATCCCTTCATTGCTGATCGTACAAGATTGGCGAGAAAATCGAGAAATACGACATCCCGCCTTGCAACACGTATAATGTGGACGAAAAGGGCTTTCTCCTCGGCGTCATCAATCGTACCAAGAGAGTATTCTCTGTTCGTGCCAAGAAGCAAGGAAAATTGATCGGTGCTGCGCAGGATGGCAACAGATCATGGATCACGTTCCTGGCATGTGTCTGTCAAGACCTGACAGCGCTACCCCCGTTTCTCATCTACCAAGGCAAGCCAGGGCAAGTTCAGGACTCCTGGCTCACGGAGTTTGATCCGGAGCACCAAGCGGCGTTTTTCACAACCTCAGAAACGGGTTGGACGAACCATGAACTTGGAAAGGAATGGCTCATTGGTGTTTTCGACCGGTTCACGAAAGAAAAGGCGCGAAACGGCCGGGATTACCGCCTCCTGATTACCGACGGACACTCTAGTCATGTCAATATGGACTTCCTGGAGTGGTGTGACCAGCATCGGATAATCGTTGCCGTGTTTCCGCCGCATTCCACGCACAGGCTGCAGCCCTTGATGTGTCCCTTTGGCCCTCTCGACCGCATACACCAACCAGCTCATCCAGTGGACTGCAAAGACACAGGGACTCATCGGGCTATCGAAACGCGAGTTCTGGTCGTTATTTTGGAACGCATTCGGGTCATCTTTCTCGGCGGAGAACATCGCAAGTGGTTGGAAACGGACCGACTCCTCCCATTTGACCCTGAAGTCGTTTTTGTCGCAGATCGCGGAGAAACAGAAGATGAGTCTGAGTCTGGCGACAGCTCCGTTGACTCGCTCGCCCTGCAGCAGCCCACTGCTCGGGATTTGCGCCGACTTGTCGACAAGGTAGTCGATGGATCCTCAAAAACGCTAGCCGAGACAGTCGGAAGCTCAAAGTACTCTCGAAAGTCTCCAATCTCAGAACGAATTGCTTGATATGAGAATCAGGGACTTCGGGAGACTATCTTTCACGAAAAGCAGCGCAGAATGCGCGGTAAAGCTCTGAAGGATTACCTTTCGATCGTGTAGATCCTAACTCGGCGCAGGTATTTAGCCCTGCAAAAGTGGCCAAGCGCGCTTGAAGAAAGCAGCCATGGAGACTCAGAAGCAAGAAGAGGCCTTGAGAAAGAACGACAAAGGTTTGAGCGACAGCAAAAGGCGGCAAACCTCAAAGTTCTCGCTCTGGAGAAGAGAAGGCAGCGGGAGGCAAAAACTGAGCAAAGACGTCAGGCAAAGGAAGCCAGACAACAAGAGCGGGAGAAAACAGGCAGATACGGAAAGAGCTCAAGCGAAAGAACCAGAAAAAATGTCGGAAATGGGATCCGATCTCCTCTGTTGCTCCACAGACTCGCGAGAAGAGTCCGGGCGTTCGAGACGAGATTGTCGTCGCCATTTCGGCTCCACCAGAACCGACGACAGCTCCGGAACACTCAAAATCGCCAAACATTGTTGCGTAAAGATCCAAAGCCGGCATTGACCACTTCCTCACGTCCCAAAAGCCATCATTGGCTGTCGAGCGCGACCAGGAGATGGTAGTCAATGCGTGGGACTTGCGCGATCGGGACGCCACAGGAAGCGGCCACGGTGGCTTGATGACTGCGAAGTAGATTGAATGGAATTGCTAGGCATCTTTCTTGCTTCTGCTTTAATGTGAGATTGTTTCATATTATTTTCGTGGAGTTTCACTCAAATCTTCACCGGAATGCAAGGGAACCAAAATCCGGCGAATCGTCCGATCCGGCAGATCACCGGGAAATCCCTTAAGGGAAGCTGGGAAGAAGGTTATGCACTTAAACGAGGAAATTGAGTACATAGCGCGGCTATGTTATGCTTATAAATTTGGTTGGCGCTAATGTACCCTACCGTTTCCCAGTCAGTGACCCTTTCCAGTCAATGCACCCCCGTGCTTGATGTTCAAGCGCGGGGTCGACTTTCAGACCCCCCTAGTATATCGCGCTGATCTGGCGACTCGGCAAGTCTGCATTGACTAGGAGGGCTGTGCCATGGGACGAAGTGCCCTCTAGGTGCCGTACACGGCTTCCGCCGCCTGCGCTGTCCATCTTGGGCCATCTACATGTAACATGTTGTATTCAAGCCGATTATAAAGTTATAAACCAGCCGCCTTCTTGCCATAATCATGTAATATGCCGAGCTGCATAATGCACTCGTACTCATTACGCTAGATTATTCTCTCGTTTACAAACTTCCAGCTTATAGCATTCACTATGTACGGGCGCCGGCTTGCCGTCGTCCTATCCACGTCGCTTTGTCTGCTACCATGGCCCAGTAGCTGTCAAGTCTCGCCAATTGAACCGCCAGCGCAAACACCAATCAAATTGGTTGCCCGTGGTGACGGCGACCCACAATAGCACGTATTCAGGAGCTTGGTGGCATTCCGGCCAAGTTTCATCCTCAAGCGTCTTCTGAAGCATACCAGCTCTTGATGCATCAAGATGGCCCTTTGATGATACTAGCATATTCGTCTCAACTTACAAAGTTCGGTCGCCAACGACTTTGTGAAGCTAAGGGCTCCAGGTAAAGGGGGTGTCTATAATCCAAGCAACACCAAATTTTGTCGACATGGCTACGTCTCTCGGAGACCGCAGTTTAAGCCCGGAGGAGGCAGAAGTCGCGGCGGTTGGGGGAATCCGTCTGCAGCAAATTAGAGGATGGCTAAAGCCGAATCATGACGTACCCGACGACGCAGAACTGGAACAGGTCGTTGACAGCAGTTTCGAGAAAACCCAGAGTATGACGAAGCTTTGATCAGTTTGCCGCTACTCTAACCAACCACAACTAGCCGGATTCGAAGATGATGAGGCTGTGTGGGGAACGGAAGAATGAAAGCCCTGCCCCCTCAGGCCAGTCAGCCCAGGACAATGTCAAGGCATTCATGGACAAGAACGGGGCCGCAGTAGGCTGGGAAGGCAACTTTCCTCAAGTTTTCCCTGTCAAAGATTCTGAAAGCCCTGGGGCGAGCCTGGCGATGAAACACCCAAGAATGAGCCCTGCAAGAGAGACGGACTACTTTGCGGGAAAGAGTGGTCCAACACCGACAAGGAGCCCAACAAGAGTCGGCTGGAAGTTCCAACGACGACGGAATTGCCAAGAGTGAGCCGGAGCGTTCTCCTCCAGCCGAAGAGGAGATTCCAAAGATATTGCCGGAACCTCCAGCCGAGGTGTTGCACCCCAATTATTATTAGAGTTGCCAGCTACCTGCAAGCAGCACAGATGCTAACCAGCGTCGCGCATTCCGCCATTGACCATATTAATAATAGCTCTCTTGGGTCCGACATTGAGCACCACAACTGGGCTGCAGTCCTTAAGGACAGCGGATCTATTCTTCACCAAGTTTCAACCGATAACGTTCCAGGTCTCCACGACATAGAGGACGTGGCTAAGATGAAGAGCGATTTGCAGTCCATTGACATGGATAGGCCGCCAGAAGCTGTGACTAAAATTCACAGCATCTTAAGCGAGCACACGGCCAATGTTGAGCTTATTATTGTGGAAAACTATGTTCCAGGACTGCCAGAGATTAGATCAAATTTCAATGGGACATGGGATGAGGTGAAACACGTGCTCGAAAAGGACGAAAGCTCGGTATTAAAGGCAGAAGAAATTGCCCTTTCCATCAGCAAACGAACACTCTCAACCATCAACGACGTTCTTCGCGGTTGGTTTCCTTCTATAAAGAGAGCCAAGACACTACAAGAGATATATAAACAAGGTCCACGAAGATTTTGTTAAATACAAGAACAACAAAGAGAGCCTTGGGACGCTTATCAAGGACGGTATTACATGGCCCGTAACACATTTCAGAGATGCCCTGCATAAAGTGGCGCAGAACTACATTCCTTGGTTCAAACCGGTAGAGGATAAATTACATTTACGGGGCAGGTCGCAGCCTCGCAATACGCTACCGCCCAACGTCGGCGACGACAAGAACGAAAAAGGCGAGCAGGAACCTTTTAAATTTCAACAACAGGAGTGGAACAAGTACATCCGCCAACGGAATGCATCCGACTGGAGCAAGACTGATGAGTGCATCGGCGCCAAGGCGCAGGCCCGGCAAGGAGACGTGGCAAAAGTAGGGACATGGCAAACGCAAACGAACGAGTTGACACGCGCCTGTTATGCTGAGCAGTTTAACGAATGGAAGGCTGCAAAAGATCCGTTTCAGGTTCACCAAGATGAGTGGAAAGCTTTATCAGTAGTGGCCTGGACTTGGGAAATTCTACCACGTGCGTTGAGGACAAAGCACAGAACTGGAAAGGAGATGCGGCGAAGGAAGAGGAATGGAATAACATGAGTGCACTTCTACGAGAGTGCTATACGGAGCAGTTCGATTGGACCAAGGGTCGTCGCCCTCGCGACTATGGTCAGACGCTACCGTTATAACTTGTAGAGTTTTTACCAGTTCTGTAAGGCGGCTCGAGAAGGCGGCGAAATCACCACGTAGAACTACATTATCTATAAAGTCAAATGTGGCCGAAAGTACTGATTACCCATATAGCTGCTTCGAAGCGTGTCGTACCTGTTTGTGTAAATAGCTTCACTTTGTAATATGTATATAGGGATAATGGTGAGAGGAAAGAAAAGGAGACTCGAGAGGGAAGGGTAATGTGAGCGGGCCAAGTGGCCAGGCTCAAGTGAGCTGGGAGGGGAAGGACAATGCCGGTGATGGCCACGGCCGGAGGTAACAGAATCGAGAAAAAGCAAGGTCGCGTGTATTTAAGAGGCGAGGGTCAGGCAGTCATTTGATCAGAACAAGCGGCGTTGCGGACAAGCAGTCTTGCCTCTTTGCAGGCCCTCACCTTTTTCCGTGACGAGCGAAGTGGCGTGTGGTACGACTTACACGGATTTGAAGCCTTGAGCCCACGACCGCCGATCACGCGGAAACACCACAAGCCGACTACGAATGTCACTACGAGGTCCTTCTTGCCGTGATTAAATGATCTGAGACTACAAGAGACGATACGAGAAAGTAGTGGTGGCCCTTCGCTGCGCGTGCTGTTGGTGTTGTGCCCTCGTCCCCGTCACAGTAAGGGGAGTGGGTGTTTTATAGCGATTCGGGATGCAGCGACGAGCTAAAGGGGAAAGGCTTGCCTAAAGCAGAAGGCTGTAGTGGCGGGGAATTTGCAATGTCCGACTTTACTTAGCAAGTAACCTTCGGCGCTTGCTCTGCTTATTATAGACAACGCAGAATTATCCAAGGAGTCGCTCGACTTTCTCTTTTATTACCTCTTTCTGCCTTCTAAGCTTCCCGATAGCTATAATAGCTCTAGTAGTAACGAGTCAATCTTAATTGACTTTATACTAGACTCTTTGCGGCGGTTTCTAGACGAGGCAGACGCTAAGTATAAGACGGCTGCTAAAGCTGCTATTTCTATAATAGAGAATATACGAACGGTAAGAGAGACGCAAGGATATTTATAAGTGAATAGCGTACAGAGACCTTATAGCGTATTGCCTCCTTCGGTATCTCTTTAGCCTATATTATATTATCCTATATATAGACTTCTTATACAACTTAGATATTTGAAGTTATTACTTTATTTTACGTTAAGGCTTAGAACGTAGGAGTTCTTATTTACTAGGTTAAAGGCTCTATAAGGCTCTTCGAACTATTACGAATTAACTCGTTCGTCTTTAGCGCCCGCGGCCGACTAATTCGCTAATTCCCGCGACTACGATCCGTGTCTCCTAGATATCTTTACGTAGGCCGATTTCTAGTCCTTTATAGCTAAGACTCTAGTTAAGATAAGTATAAATAGTCCTAGGAATAAAGGAAAGTCGTTAATACGGCAGAGGCACGATAAGGACCGAATACGACCGATCTACGTATCGTAATAGAGCTATTAATAAGTTTACTTCAGCTTAGGCGAGCTAACGAATATAGACGGAATCTATATAAATACCTATAAGGAGGTTATATAGGCTAATAGCAAGCTCTTAGGAGGTCTAAGCTATAGCTACTTATCCGGGTCTCGTTATAGCTTACGATATTACGAAATAGTAGCGGCTCTAAGGGCGCTTATAAGTCTTTTATAGTATTCTTATTAGCTCGCGTACTTAGGGCTGCTAACCGCAGGAATTACTAAGCGATATTCTCTACGTAATAGTAACTAAGATTTGCCGACGGCTTAAGAAGCTAAATAACCCGCGAAACGGTAAGTAGCTTAAGACTATCGATAAAGCTATTTCGGAGGCTAATCGCAAAGCGCTAGTAAAAGATCTAATAACTTTGCGAGCTATAGCTCGACTTAGCGGCAATTTCGGAACTCGATATGAAAAGGATAACTATATCCTTAGGTAATAAACGATTTTATATCCTCTATTTTAGAACGGAAGAATTTAGATAAGACGAGTTTCTTCTTTAATAGTAGGCTCTATTACCTCGATATATACGTGCCTTCGGTCTATAGATACCGAATTAGCTTATCTACCGTTCTAACTTACTATAATTAAGATATAGGTAGCTAGTAATATCGACTCTAGATTAAGAGGTATATTAATAAAGAATCCTTATATAAAAACTTATACGATTTACTACGAAAGTACTATATAGTAGCGTCGTCTTAGTACGATAGTCGACTTAAAGGAATATCTAGAATAATTCTTATTATTCTCGAACTCTAGGTTAGCGCGGATCGGGCAGCGGTCTATACCCGATACTATGGGACTACGATCTAGAGATCCTAGTCTAAGTATACTAAGCGATATTACTGATTCCGGGGATATAGTAAGGCTTTATAGAGCAAAGAGTATATTACAGCGATAGTCTTATATAAAAGACGCTAAGCCTTCTATCTTTTATTCCTATGGTAATAAGGAATCGTTCTTAGTACGATATTATTTACGATCGAATCTATACTAAGGATTATTGCGTAGGATTAATATCGACGCTATAAAAATAGGTAAAGAAGTAAAAGAATTCTAACTTCTGAGAGAGTATAACGATCTAATAGAACTATAGTATAAGCGCGTACCAATAGGTTTAGCTAGAAGAAGACGGAATATAATACTAGAGCATACCCTATATATAGTTATTGAGCTATAAAGAGGAGTATAAAATCTAACTATCGCTATATATAAATAGCGCTGCCTATAAAAATATTTAAAGTATAGGCAATAGTATTTAAGCTAGCCGTCCCTCCTATTTTCGGCTACTAGCGAGATATAATACTCTATATCCTTAATAACGTGTCTGATATAAAGACTTTCTAAGTTCTTAGCCTATAATATCCTATTACCTTCGGGACTATAAAAGGCTTTTAAAGTATATAGCTCCTGACTATTAGCGTTATTTCTCTTATCTAAAACGAAGCCTTATATCGTTACTTATAAACGAGATAAATTTATCGCTAGTAGTTCGATATCGGACGTATATATTAATAATAGCCTCGTTTCTAGTACTTTAATAACTTTTAGGTTTTTATTAAAGAGATAATGCCTATACTTACTCTTTTAGATCACTATATATTTTAGCTGCCTAACCGCTTTAAGGCAATATAATGCTTCCTTAAGCTAAACTATTTTCATTAAACAGAGAAACTCTTAATAAAGTTATAGCTAGCTAGTCGAAATATCTAGAGTATATAACTCTAGGTAAGTATAAGGCCTAGCTAAACTGCTATTTAATTACCGGATATAGTAGATAAGCGTGCTTAGCAGCTTATAGCGCTAAGTATTAACTTTAATAAGGCTAAGATAGCTATATTTTTACTATAGATTAGTCTCTGCCGGTTTAAAGTTTTCTAAGGAAGTTTTAATGTGCTCTTATACGTTTCTATAATATAGAGTTTAATAGGAGGATATATAAACACCTACTTATATCTATCTCCTATATTAGTAAGAACTAAGATTCTTATACTATACTTAGATCTATACCTTTCTATTAGCAGCACGCCTTATCTATAATAATAAAGATTTAAAAGGACTTTTTCAATATCTTTATAAATATAAGAGTATTTCCTACTAGTGTCACGGTGCAGCTTGATTTCGTAGTTCTCGAAGATATCCCTTAGTAAGAGGGACCAAGGAAGCTAAAAACACCCTGGTATAGAAGAAGGAGTAAAAAGAAGGTATAGGAGAGAGGGCATGGAAGTATAAGTAGCGAGAGATAAGACGGATATGCCGGAAACGGCTGCAAAGGAAGGAAAAACCGGTAAAAAGCTCGGTAGTTAAAAGGATATTAGTAGCTTCTTTAAGCAGGATCTTCTTTATTAATTAAGATGCTAGACGGGTATAAATAGGGGCGTTAGATAAAGGAAAGAAGGACAATTAAGGCAATATAACAATCACCCCTACCTTTATTACTGCCCCGTAAGAATCAAATCTCTGCCCTGCCTATCCGACCCTTACTTCTAATTTCACCTTCGTATATTTTATATATACTTCTCGTATCTCTCTCATGAGTTATAAGCCGGGAGGAATAGAATTCCTATACCTTCCGGCTGCTATAAAAGGCACCTTTCTTATATCCTCGTAGCTTCCTTTTACCCTCTTACTAGAAAGCCGATTTTTAACCGACTTTTCTACCCTTCCCATAATAATATCGAAAAACGACTCTGCCGCCCTACGGTCCGTAGGACGATTCTTATAGAGCCTAAGATTAGGATAAGTAGGTAAAGGAGCTACGGGCTCGTATAGACAGAACTATCTATAATTTAGTCTTCTAATAAGTAGGACCCTCGAGCCCCCTCTTCGTCTTAGGGCAACGGACTTTATAGAGGAGCTACCCTCTTCTCCGAGCTAACCTCTGCATAATAGAGAGCTTTTCTGCTGCCTTAGGTAACTACGAGAGTCACCGTAAGGAATACCTTTATAAGACGAAGCTGCTAACTGCTGCACGCAGGCGATAACGGAATCCGTTAGTGCCGTAAAGCTAATCTCTTCGAGAGGAAGAGACTCTTAGGCAGTGGCTTTTAAAGCTCGAGACCTTAATAGCTCCCTCGAGAGGTTATATAACTAACCGTATTAAGAAGACCTATACGGCCTACCTAGGAGCCTTTTTACTAGGAACCTACTAGCTTCTTCGTAGCTAGCTAAGTAAGAAGAAATCCTCGAGAAGCTAACTAATACTTCCTTATAGAAGCTCTTTCCGGCTAGTGGCTACAGGATATATCTCTACTAATAAAGCCTATTAGTAACGGTTACTCGACTATCTTTCGAAGCTAGCTAAGAACTAGACGAAGAGGCTGCTAGAGTATAATAGTAAGCAGTCTTATTCTTCGTGGCTAGCACTCGACCTAGACGGCTCGACCTGCAGCTGCTGCAGCCTATTGCTGCGGCCCCGCTGCTGCTGTTACGGCTGTTGCTCCTTCGGCTCCTCCTCCTCGAGAGCCTTAACCTAGTCTTTAACGGCTGCCCTAGTCGGCCCCGGCCCGCCTTTGCTC